GTGATCGGGTATACTTACAAAGGGAGCCCTAGACAGCCGTGCCATGACTTCAGATGTCCCGAAACTACATTCAGGGAGAAAAGGTTCCCCTACATCTTTTGCCCCTTCCTTCCACCAAGGCATCAAAATGTGTAAAGACAAAGGAGTGAGGAAAAAAAAAATATTCTTAGATTTTCCAGACCACACTAGTCACCTTCTGAACACCTGCCCAAGTTTAGCTCCACTCACACCCTAAACTTATATCATCTATAAGAATAATACTGGATGTTCTGAGACAATAAATTATAGGGATCTGGTTACACAGCAAGGTAACTAACACAGCTTGCCATGATTCATTCACGTAACACAATTACAACTCAAATTTGAAAACGATCTGCTGATTTAAGTTCAGAAGAAACAAAAGCCCCCTTTATATGGCCACTGCTTGATTATAGTATTTGTATTTCTTTAAGCTATGCATCATAGCAATGGTTACTTCTCAGCTTGACTTAAAATCTGACTTGAAAGCTATTTCAAAACTTTCAAGGCTAGTGATTGTGGCTGCTGTATACCCACGTTTCTTTTTCTATTCAATGATAGCTTATAAACTGTAATTGATTTCTCTTCAGATTCTTCTCCAACCAAGTGAGAAAAAATGCCCTCTTTTGGATATTTTGTTTTTCCTGAATGCAATTATGTTAAAATTGCATTTGCCCAATACATCTCTTATTCCTATAATTGTATTCTGTTTCGAGAGAACAACTAGTCTGTGTATTTGTTTCCTCTCCTGTTAAATTAATGGCATCAGAGAGTGTTGAATAGCTTCCAGTTCTTCCTCTCCCTCTCAGGAGGGTTTCAGATGTAGACAGGCTGCCCATTGTGCACAGTAACTATGGTTAAACTCCAAGTTCTGCTGTCTGCTGAAGTATTCTGATAACTTCCCAAAATGTGGCAATGTTAATTCTTCGAGCCACACCTGGATCTCATAATAACACATCCAGCTTTAAAGAGCTGATGGCAAGGCTATGTGGCTTCAGTGACCTTAGGCAAACAATTCATCTGTACATATCCCTCAAGGCACCCAAAAAATTGTAATTTTTAAAACACTTCTTTTTATTTTTAAATTATGCTTAAGTCCTTATGTCTCTGTATGAGTGTCTATGTGACTGCGGGTGTCTGAAAAGGTAACAAAAGAGCATAGGATGCTCTCAAGCTGGAGTTACAGGCAGGTATGAGTTGTCTAAAGTGGGTGATGAAAATCAAATTAAGGTGAAAGAAGCAAGCACTTCAAACCACTGACTGATATCTCCAGCTTCTAAAACTGTAATATTTAACCCTTACTGACCTTTAAAAACAAAAGAAAATTTATATAGCAGGCCAAACATAAGCAGGGACTTCTGCTTGCAGTAAATCATGTTCTGTTTAGAGCTGTCCTAAATCTTTGTTTAATTTCCTGTTCTCAGTGATGAGCATCAGAGAAGCAATTACCCCGAGGAGAGCAGCAGGAAACGACCTTTCACTAGTAGGAGCAGGTGGTGGGACATAATACCATCTGGCTTCCTGCCACCATCCCAATAGTTTATTCCATTCTCTGTCCTTCTGAAGGTGCTTATAGAAATCACAAATTGTTCTGCTATAGATAAGATCTTTTCCCATTATTAATAAGACAGCAGTAGACTCACTATCTGGCTTCCTACATAAAAAGCTCATGTCTGTGTTTACTTACATTAAGGGGAGGTGCCAGTACCAAGTACCCCAGAATATAAACCATTCACCTACAATCTAGATGTGGCCCAGTTCTTCTTTGGTTGGGGTGGTAGCTAAGGTATATATTAGTTCCAATGCATAGTATCAGCCTTCCTTCCCTAGATCTAGAGAAGGTGGGGCACAAAGAAGGAAGGTCTAGTACACTTTACATATGAAACCATGATTATAGAAATTAAAGTTATGAAATTAGTAACTTATTTAAAAAATGTAATCTAAAAGGAACTTACCCACATTACCTCAGAAACATGGTGAAATTAACATGGTGGATTAATATTCCACCATGATTTATCAACACTGAAGTTGGGAAGAGTACAGATAACCCAGTAACTATACAATAGGGGTAGTTACACTTCACTTCTCTAGTTTACCTGGCTTCCTTAAATGGTTAGCTTTTTATGAATAAATAAGCCATAAAAGACTGTTAATAGTAGCATCCTTTAAAAGAAGTTAAAAACATTTGAATGTCCAGCAGGCACCAAACATGCCTCTATTTACTCACATGGACCTAGCCAAAGTATAGTTAATTGTAAAAGCAATAGCATCGATTAACAGAGAGGACAACATATAACACATAATCAACATATACTGTGTGCCAAGCACTTATATGTCATAAAGGAAATTATCCTATTTATTGTTTCCATTGGGACAGAGCACAAAAGCAAAATAACCTGGTGGGTCCAACAGCTTACTAACCAAAAGAGGCAGAATTTTTAAAACCCATCTTTCTGAGTCCACTAGCTAAGCAGTTTTAAGAGGTTGGGTTGGAACTCAGTGTATGAATGCTTGCCTAGTGTGTAAAAGGCTTAGTGTGACCCACAGAAATGCAAACATCAAAACAAATAAAAACTATGCACGTATGGTGCCACAGAGCCACATGCCTCTAATTTTAAAGCCAATAAAGTGCAAGCCAAAGGATGTAGAAGAATTTGAGGCCAGCCGAAGGTAAATGTGTGAACCTGGCTGAAATTGAAATAAGAATCTATTATAACCGATGCAGCTTTCCAAGGTCATAGAAGCTAATGAATATTTATAAAAACAGTATGGGTATAGTGATATTTTTATAGGTCTGTCTTGTTTTTCCAGGCAAAAGGCTCTAACCCCAGTCTGTCCCATGTGGGTTGAATACTATTTTCTGTGATTTCTATCCAGTAGTTAACCCTTTCATAGTAGCAGGTGGCTACAAATCATGTACTTATAAAGTCCTACTTGATTTAAGATGTAAAGGAACCCTGGTAATATTGTATATGTTAACATTTTTGTTATTACTTATATGACTAGAAAACTGAAGAGAAGCAGAGTGAGTGGTATCAATAAGACTAATGATTAGTACTTTTTGTTAGATGGGAGAAGGAGGAGAACAATATAGAAAAGTGAGAATAAAGAAAAATGGGGGGAAATTTAGAAGTTTAGTTAATAGAAGAATAAAAAGAGTGAATGAATAAATGTACTCAGATAAATGAATAAATGTAATAAGGTCAGCCTCTGGGCTCAGAATATGTGACAGTAATAGGAATACTTATGAAAAGAAAAAAGAAAAAAACAAAAACAAAATTAAAAAAAGAAAGGAGCCAAAAGAAGATTGTGTACAAAACCTTAACAGGTGTGAATAATAGGGTATGGTGTCAGCCTGTTACATTGATACGCTGTACTAAATAAATAAGATAGAACTAGTGGGCGAGAAAAGCTGAGTGGAGATATAAGAAAATAAAAACACTGGCAGATAAGGAATAGCTGTAATGTGGGAGAAAGGAAAGCAGGGTGGAGGGAGTTACAAAAAAAATCAAAATTATTGACTGAATGTTGTTTCCATCTCCTTGGTAGATCTCTTGCTTTGCCTCCCTGGTTCTAGCCCAGGCTATATTCTATGTTGATTTTTTCACCCATCCCATTCTTCATTCGTGGACTACAACTCCCTCCTGCACAAAGTTTTCTTGACTCTGTTCTGAGAACTGTGTCTAGGATATCTATTTAGAACTGCAATCTGTAAAGCAAATTGGTCTCTTCATCCATATGAAGTCACCAAAAGATCTTTGTCTCTTCTGACTAACTATAATTTGAAATCTTTTTTTTTTCTTCAGGTACTGGAACAGCAAGCTACTTTTCCCCCTTCAGTTCCACTTTTTTGATATATTCTTTTCATCCTTCTATCTGAAATTTGGGATTATTTTTGATACACATTTATTGGAAAAAAGTAGATTATTCCTGTTTTTTTTAATTAAAATATTACTTCCTCCTCAACCTTGCCAGTCTACAGAGAAAGACAAAGATGCCAGTCCTGATGAGACCTGATAGACTATGGTCAGATGGAAGGAGAAGAAGACCTCCCCTATCATTGGACTGGAGGAGGTGCATAGGAGAAGAGAGAGGAGGGGTGGGATTGGGACAGGAGGGGGGAGGGGGCTATAGCTGGGATATAAAATGAATAAACTGTAATTAATAAAATAAAAGAAAAAAATATAACTTCCCATCTTCCACTAACTTCCTCTAGCCCTTCCCATATTTCCTGGCCTAATAAACCCTTTCAAATTGATGGAATCTTATTCTTTGATTATTTTTACACACACACACACATACACACACACACACACACTTACTCACTCAATCCATGCACTATTTCAATGTTTTCGGCTCCTATTTGTCATCTCTATGTTCTCAGTTCTTGGCAGTCAAATCTGTTTGTGCAATGCCACTGTGTGTGAAGAGAAGCACTTGTGGTTTCCAATGACCTTAAAGCCATGTGTTGCTGATGGGAAATGTTCAAGCTTCTCTTGCCTGCTTGCACATAGAGATTCATTATCTTACCCAAAACTCTTTTCCAAATAATGTGAAATTTTAAATGTATATTTCATTGTCATTGACTGTGATGAATTAGCATCGTCTGTGTCAGACTCCAAACATTTTCATCACTCCATAAGGAAACCCCACTCTACCGAGTCCATCCCCCACCTCTGCCAGTAGGTTCTTTCAGAGATGATAGTGTTTCTTTATGATTGGATTATATGCCATCACTCTGAGAATGCTAAATTTATAGAGTATGGTAGCATTCCTACTTTTCTTCATGTGAGCAGATTTATGAAAGGCCTTTTTGTTCTATTCCTACTAGTCATGTAGTCTTCCAATCACACACCCACCAGCTGTTTAATTTCTCACGCCAATAATCTATGAGAATAAAGCTACCATAAGGGTTCTGGAAAGGATCCCACACTGACTGGCATTCTTAACCCCATAGGTTGGAGATCAAGACTGGCTTTTACCCTTTGTTTCTCTGAATCCACATAGCGAATTCCAAAGTAGTCCTTCTCCAGCAAGCTGTAGTAGTTGCAGATGTGCTCAATAAGAAACTGCCCTTTGGTCTCCCTCTGCAAAGGAAGAATATTTAAGTTACAGCCAGAGCTCACATGTACATTCACATTTCATTCCCAGTGGACTTACTTACCCAGCTGGGTCTGTGTTTAGAACATTAGATTTAGTCAGTTCAGACACTGGCACAAGGTTTCCAATATTTTTAATTACAGCCTCAGCAAGCAACACATTTTACAAAGTGAGATTAGTAATTTTCAGGTTGTTGTGACCAGTGAAGTTACAAGAAGCAACTTAAAGTAAGAAAGGCTTATTTTATTCAAGTTGGGTGGAAATGAAGGCATGACAATGGGAATCCATGTACAGGCTGCTTGTACACCTGTGAGCAGAGGAGGAAAAAGAAGGGTGAAATAAAATGTAGTTAGGAAAAACAAAAAAACTAAAACTAAAATACCCCCTCCCCCAGAAAACAAAAACAAACCAAGCCTGTAACCTCAAATTCCAACCACAGAAACCCACTTCTTCCAGTGAAGCCCCAAATCCTAAAGGTTTCACAATCTCTCCACAGAGCATCATCATCTAGAAAGCAGATGTTCAAACACATTAGCCTACAGGTAATATTTGACATTCAAACCACCAGAGTGAGCCAACCCAAATGCATGCGTGCATGTGTGCGCACTGTGTGTGTATGAGTGAGTGTGTGTGTGAGCGCATATGTGCAGATATGTGCATATGTGCGCATATGTGTGTGGGAGAGCGCAGCCATCCCCTACTCCCCTACACACTTAAATAAGAACACCACCCAAAGGAGGAATTGATAGAATATACAGCAATATCCTGCACTGGTACAATGTGCTCTTGTATATTCTGTTTCATTCTATTAGAGGCCATTTAATTTCATAATATTTATAACTAAGAAAACATTTTACACTTCAATACTACATGGGAACCCATAATTTGTAATTTTAAAATGCCTCTGACTCTTTGCTCCAAACTGTTTTCAGTTATTCACTCATCCAATTTTCTGAGAAAACAGGCACAAAAGATTCACTGACTTGTCTATGATCACACAACTTTCATGGATCAAGGTAGGATCTCAATCCTAGTATTTGAATGTAGAATGTGGTTTTCTGTCCAACATTACTGTCTTTCTGGAATATGTGAGACCACTGAGAGACTCTGAGAGTCACGGTTTGAATGCAAGGATGTGCAGTGAAAGGCACTGGAATATTCTTGCTCCCACTAACAATGTTTTGAAATTCCATGTCTTTGGTTTTAGATTATGGTAAATCAAGAGAGAATGTAAGTGTAAATCACTTACAGTCTGACAAGGGACTGGAGAGATGGCTCAGTGATAAAGATTGCTGCCCTTGCAAAAGACCTAGAGTTGACTCCCAGCACCTATACAGTGGCTCAATACTATCTGGAACTTCAGTTAACAGCAATGCATTGTCCTCTGCTCTTCTTTGGCAGCAGGGATACATATGGCACACAGACATATAGAACATACATCATACCTAAAAAATACAAATAAAACTCGTGTTTTAGTTGCTGACAGATCTATGGAATGCTTTAGCGGGGTACACTGTGACTATAAATAGAAAATTTGAAATTTGAGAGACAAATGAGTCATTGTTCCAAGAGAGAGGGGGAAGGGAAGGACTTGGCATGGCATAGACTTTTGAAAGCTCAAAAGCTCATACTCAGTGTCATCTCCAACCAGGAATACCTCCTAATTCTTCCTCAAATATTTCCACCAACTGAGGACCAAACATTAAAATTTATTGTTCTGTGGGTTTCATCTCACACAAGCCTCCACACATGGTTTTAATCACAGCAATCCATAGTCTGAAGCAAAATGGTCCCTGTTAGTTCAAGGCCAACCTTGTTTACATATCAAGTTCAAGGACAGCCAGGCTAACATATTGGCATGTCAAAAGGGGAAATGATGCAGATTCTTCACATCATTCTCCAGAGTCTAGCTGGAGAAATCCTTCTATTCCTCTCCTCCAAACAATCCACCTATCCCATATCCCCAGAGCCAGCCCAGTTCCTGCCTGTGCAACAATCAAATTCTAGGCTTTGGCCAGGAGCTATCCTCATGCTATGCCTGCTCTGATACACAGGGCCATCCCATACCATTTTTAACCTCTGCACCCAACCACATTCTGCACACCCTTCTCCAGGACTTAGTTGGTGATCCCCACTTCCAAACACACTCATAAGCTCCCTCCCCAGAAAACCCAGGCCATATATTTGGTACCCCAGACTAATAAGGACAGCCTTGACTAGCCTGCAAGCAAACAGTAGGCAGTTTATACTGCAAACTGTAGGCTGTTCCTGACCAAGATATCCCTTCTACACACATTTATCTTGCCATACAGGCAGATGCTGCTCTAAGGTCTAGCCAGGTGAGTCATTGTGTTCCTCCCCACCATACACCCTCACCCAACCATCACATCTATTCTCACATTGCAGGCTTATACTGGGATGCACATTCTGCATATTAGCCCAGTTATTGATGAACATCTCATTTTATTTCGAGCAAGGTATATGCAACCTTTAGACCCAACCGAATCTGCACATCTGCCTCAACCTGCTTTCTTCATGCCAGACATGAAAAAAATTTATATATATATATATATACATATATATATATATATATATATGTATATATATATGTGTGTGTGTGTGTGTGTGTGTGTGTGCATATATATATATATCTGCATGCAAAGATACCTTTGGAAAATCACAAATGGCATGAATGATCATAGGAGTACTATCCTCACCCCCACACAAAAAGTCAAACAAACAAACATAAAAACAAACAAATAAAAGACCACCATTTCTATAGAATCACAGGATACAGAACTTGAGAGAACAATTAAAGATTTCAAAGAATTTAAAGAAGAAACAAAGAAATAGCTCAATGAAATTTAAGAAACTTTAAAAGGATACCTGTGTCAGATGCAGGAAAATGTAAGGGGGACAAAAATGACAAAGACAATCCAGGATTTAAAAATGGAATTTAATAAAGACATAGAAACTCAGTGGCTGGCTCTTTGATCACCTCCCCCTGAGAGGGGAGCAGCCTTGCCAGGCCACAGAGGAGAACAATGCAGCCAGTCCTGATAAAACCTGATAGGCTAGGGTCATATGGAAGGGGAGGAGGACCTCCCCTATCAGTGGACTTTGATGGGGGCATGGGAGGAGATGAGGGTGGAATTAGGAGGGAATGAGGGAGGGAGCTACAGCTGAGATACAAAGTAAATAAACTGTAATTAATATAAAAAATTAAAATTAAAATTAAAAAAACAGAAAAGAAATATAGAAAAGAATTCAAGATGAAATGGAAAATCCTCAATAACCTTATTGAAAAATTCAAAAGAAAGCCTTATAAGCAGAATGAATCAAACAGAAGACAGAATATCCAGACTCAAAGATAAAGTAGATGTAGACTAAATAAGTAAAGAATATAGAAAATATCATGAAACAGATAAACAAGAAAAGCAGAACAGCATGAAAAGACCATACTTGTAAATTATAGATATTGATGAGAGACAAGAATCCCAAGTCAATGAGTGAGACCAAATCTTCCATAAAATCATAGAAGAAAATTTCCCCAAACTAAGGATATACATATTCATACAGACACAAGACACAAACAGAATACCAAATGGGCAAGACCAGATATGAAAAAGCCCATGGTATATCATAGTTAAAAGAATAAGTATACAAAAAGAAAGTATATTCAAATCTCCAAGAGAAACAATACAAATAACAAGCAGTGAAAAACCCCTCAGAATAACAGCTGATTTCTCAGTGAAAACCATGAAACCATATGGGCTTTGAGCACCTTATTGTGAGTTCTAAAAGACCATGGTTGCCAACTTAGACTAACCAGCAAAAACATTTCTCACAGTTGAAGAAGAGGAAAAAAAAATTCATAATAAAACTACCTTAAAGAAATTATATCTAACCAAAACAACTAGAGAAAATGAAGAAAGCAGTATTTTATCTTGAAGAGAGGGATAAGTATTGCCAAGTGGAATAAAGAAACCCAAAGCTATAATTACTAAAAGAAAAAGTACAACTGAGAATACAAGCAAAATAATAACGAAAATTAGCACACATATTTCAACAACAACATTAAATATCAATTGCCTCAATTCTTTAGTGACAGGTAGTTAAATGGATCAGGAAACAAAATTACTCTACTGTCTACAAGAAAGAACATCTTAGCTTTAAAAATAAGAACAATATTAGATATAAAGGATGGACAAAAGTACTCTATTAAATGGTACCAGAAAGCATGCAGGAATTACTATCCTAATATTTGACAAAATAGCCTTCAATCTAATCAGAATAGATAGAGAAAATTATGTTATTCTAAGCAAGGGAATAGTTAATGCAGATAACATTTCTATCCTAAACATATATTCACCAAACTTTGGTGAACGAAATTTCATAAAAGTATTAGATTTAAAGACACAGATTGACATCATCAATAAGTAAGTAGTAGGTGATTTTAATGCCTAACTTTCTCCAATAGATAAGTCAGAGAAACATCAGATAACTGAGAAACATCAGAATAAATGACATTTTACAACAAATGGACTTAACAAAAAGCTATAGAACCTTCCTCCCAAACTCATGGAAGCTTCTCTAAAATAGACTACACACTGAGGCAAGAAATAGATCTTTAAAAATAAAAAGATTGAAATAACTCTGTATTCTATCTGACTGTATACAATAAAACTTAAAATTGGCAGCAAGCAAATCTATTGTAAATACATAGCTTCATGAGATTGAATAACTCTGGCTGAATAATGAATGGCTCAAAGAAAACATCAAAAAAGAAATAAAAGTGTTACTGGAACTAAATAACAATAAAAATGTAACACAATAAAAATCCCCTGGAACATCCCCTGCTTAAGCAGTCCTAAGCAGGATGTTTGCATTCCTAAGTGCCTACATTAAAAAAAAATATCAGAAAGAGTACAAATATATAATTTAGTAATGTAATTCAAAGCAGGACTTGCAAGAACAGAAGGATAGA